GCGCCAGCTAGTTCGTAACCGCCTATATGACCGTCTATGTGCAACTCAAAATTGCATAATTTGCCCCAATGGTAGAGACGATGATTGCATGAGTTCGGGTATAGTTTATCTGATCTCCTGTAAGACGTGCGGTGACGAATACATTGGCGAAACGGGTAGACCCCTCTGTGTCCGCATAAAAGAACACCTAGCCGGCAAACGTAAGCTAAGTACTCCACTAGGTACGCATAGGACCCAGAGGCATAACGTGGAGGACTTTGAAGTATGTGTCACGATCCTCGCACATTAATCAAGAACACAGGCGCGAAAAACTCTCGAGGCACTCTGGATTAATTCCAGAAATCCGAAAATGAACCGCAGGGAAGAATGCCTCATTATCACGCGCGATATAGGGCAGTGTATAAGACTGCTATTCTTATGGGAGGGGCACATTATACTTCCATGTGATTTCTGTGCGGTTGGTTCCTAAGTGACATACTTAGTGGAAACCTCATAGAAAGTGGTGAGTGTGCAAAGCTGTGTTCAAAGTGATTGAAATCTTGGTTTAGAGCTTCTTTGCTTGGTTATGGAGGCGTCTGGCCGAGTGGATTGCTATCAACTTGACCTTTCCAGGCTCTGAGGAAGGCGAAATCCACCGAATCGTCAGCTTATTCGTGAATAAAGAACAGTAACACCTCGCGTTTGCTCAACAAAAATACGAAGAATTACTTAAATTCGATAGTTATTAGATTGCAGGAGATGCGTATAATACTGTGCTAAAAAAAAGTGACGAAAAATTCCATTGCAATTTTATCCACTTGGTTAGGGTGCGTTATATTTAGCGAGAGCGACTACTACTTCATCATTGTATCGGAGAGCTTCACGATATCTTTCAAATAATCCAAGGTGCTGGGCTTCTCGCATTCTTTCGGTCCGCCGTTGTGAAGGCGCGCCATCGCTTCACAAGGATCCGTAGCAGAAGAAGGACATCCACCTTTGTAGTGGTCATGATATGACTGAAATCACCACTCTGCTTTTTTCAGTTTTCAAATATTTTTTCCGTTCAAAGAATACAGATTATTTTAGCGCTTTTCGTTGCTTTCTGCAACATAGAACGGCATTCGAGTACCTAGATGTGAGTTCTGTGTTCGCAAAATCAATGCACATGTTTTCTACAAGCACGAACAGGAAACAACTCTCCACGAACGTCCTATAGTATTGATATCAACTACATCTCATACCATAACGCATTTAGTGGAGCGGTCATAGTTATCAGTACATCTCTTCCACTCACGCTGTAGTGACATCTTCTCCGGGCTGGCGACCAGACGTACCGCAATCCATGTAGTACGGCTGTTTTATCTGATAAATTAGATGTTTCCAAAAATTTGTACTTGATTTGCGATCGAACAGTTCAGTTACAAAAGTGGAAGAATAAGGGATAAAGCGCTTGGCTTTGATTAAGCCTTCGGTAGTGCTCAACCCAGTAAATAAATGCATATTTGTCCTATTCAGTGACTTGGACTAACCACAATGTATGGTGTTAGTACGCAAGTCATGCTTCTCCGACTCGCTGGATCGAGGCAATAGCCATGTATGTGTTGCAGTACACCTTCTAACCACTGCTCTACATTTATATAGTTAAAAAACTTCGCTTATATCTGATGTGGCTCTAATTTAAGCGCGTTTAGTGCTTCAATCATAGGAAGCATAAATTATTCTTCACTGTAAAATATCTTACCTGTTGGTATCCACAGGCTCAGATCCTCGGTCCATTACACATCCAACTGGCTTAAACCCAGACTCTAAGCAACGAGCTTCGTACATAGATCGAGCGGCATACCAGACATATTTGGAAAATCTATACTTTCCCAATAATTTAGAATAATCTAACTGAAGAGTGCTAGACTTATTCCTAAAATACCAAAAAAATTATAGATGAGAAGTAAGTTCATGACAATGATTTGGAAACAGTTATCTACGTTACAAAACAATATTCCACTACACTTCCAAGTGAGCGCACAAATGCAAATAAACTTAGAAGGACAGATTGTGAGGAAAATCTTGGCGATATTTAACGCAACGGCTCACTAAATATGAATTACAGAATTCTTAACTTTTATTTACTGAATATTTCTTCTTGCCAGGGCAGAACTCCCGACGTTGGTCTATCCTTAAAACATACGCCATGCATTCGACTTCATCAGTAATCGTCAGGGATGAACGAAAGCATATCTGGACCGATTATCGATTCAGCGGTCCTATCCTTCTAGACATGTGGTACCAATTTATCGACCCCGGGAGGATGAAAGGCATGGTTAGCTCGCGAAGTGATATTGAATCAAAAGCCGCATACATGTTGCAGCGCA